AAATTTCTGAGGAAAAAGTTGTGAAGGAATAGAAACTTTATTTGCAAATAATATAAAAAGTATGCATTTTTTATTTTATTGCACGCATGATTATTAGCAAGATAACTAAAGTACCTTTAAAACATACAAAATTGTAAAAATCGGGCAATTTTCAACTAATATACAGTCCCTTAGATTTCGCATACTTAATAATTTTTTCCTCTTTAAAAATACTGTATTTACTTTTTTTTCGGCTGATATATTATTTCTTTAAGGCATTATTTTGGTCGTACATTTTATATTTTTATATATTCTTTTTTTTTTTTACGCACAGAAAGGAGCTGAGACTGTCACCTTGTTTGACCCCTCTGTCCACGGGCGGATCTACGGGGGGGGGGTCTTTCGGGCTGAAGCCCTCCCCCCCCAAAATGGAAAAATATAACCATGTTTTATGGGAAAAAAATTTAAAAAATACCTCTTAAAGTATTATTTTTCGTGTAATTACATTTAAAAGTACTTAAGGAATAACTTAAACACCATTTCATATAGGTAGTTAGTTTCTGTCTGTTTTTCCAAAGAAATTATCGTTATTTTTATGAAAAAAAAAAGGTTTCGGGCTGAAGCCCCCCCCCAAAATTTAAATCCTGGATCCGCTAGTGCCTCTGTCTATATAAAAGCTCTTTGATTCCCTAAAATATAAGGAACTCCTTACTATAGTCTCAAAATATTTATATTCTGAAACACACCATTACTTAAAAGACAAAACTGTATTTATATACACAAACAAACATACATAAATTATATACCTACCTACTGACACTGCAAAATCTAGATGCTCACACTTTACTGATATAAAATCTCCCACTATATCAGCTCTTTCTGACTCAGTTTTATTCATAAAAATGTTTTAACGAACTAATTTTGAAATATACGTGTGCTTGAGATAATAACTTTAAGCCTGCTTAAACGAAAGTAGTTTTATTAAATCATATTGCCACCATACAGTATCAACTTGCACTATCACTGAAAATCGGTTTTACGGCAGTAGGTGATAATCTCCGTCAAAAGGATTTAACTACAGGCAGATAGGGAACAATTAATAACAGTAATTGACTGTGAATTTAGGATGTCTTCTGTCACTTATCTATTTATTCAATTTTAATTTTTCTCTTTGTCTTATCTTTTAGTCTATATTCATGGAATTGCGTAGGTGCGATTTGGTCTTGTATTTCTAGCATTTTTTTTCTTCAGAAAATTATGTGTTATATAATGTTAATTGTTTAAATTAGTATATTGGAGATATTATTATGACTAGTGTTATGGAAAGAGAAACAAAATAATATGTTTATATAATAATGGAATATAATAATATAAATAGTAAGAGCTATGTCCATACGGATTGGTCAGTATGCTGTGTATGAATCAACGCTATGTGGTAGTGAAGCATTACTTTCAATAAAGTATTTCTCTCTTTGAAAAAAAAAAAACTCCTAAAATAAAACAAGTGAAACTTTTGATTCTGAGAACAATTTTTTTCAAAATCTCCCGCACAAATATAATGCTCCCCTATCTCCAATAGTGAGGAATCAGAGTAAAAAAAAAGTATGTTTATAAGTTTATATATATATATATATATATTGTTAGCAGAGATATGCCGACGATAAATATCAAATCTATAAGGACACAGCATTGCATTTTGACCTCAAAAGCTCCTCCTATCTCTCCCAAGATCGGCGGTAGGCGGGGATTCAATGAGGTTAGCCAAGGCTGAATGAATATTTTTGGAAGCCTTTTACCCTCACGGTCACGAACTAATCATTCTTGATCGAGAAATCGATATTAACTAATTTATTGACATAAATAACTTAACCCATTATATCTGTGCCTCGGAGGTACATGTCCATTGTTTCATTAAATAACTTAGTAGCTCAGAGATACGGAAAATCGGTTCCCCTGGACAAATACAAAAATGTGATACTGTGTCTTTTACCTGCGGGATACAGATATTACAAAGTATCAAGATATTTAAAATTGTTAAGGAAGGAGATGGTCCGGGATGGCGGTCATAAATAAGCTAAATAGTGGCAAAACTATTTTATTAAAAGCCAACGTTTCGACCCGACTTTGTAGGTCTCCTTCAGGAGGTGTGCTCAGGTAGGAGTTTCACTTAAAACTGAAAGTTTCAAGTGAGTTTCGATTTTAAGTGGAACTCCTAGCTGAACACACCTCCCTGAAGAAGACTGCAAAGTCGGTTCGAAACGTTGGCTTTTAATAAAATAATTTTGCCACTATTTATGACCGCTACCCCGGACCATCTCCTTCCATTATAATGCAACGGTCAACTATTAAATATTCAAAATAAAATTGTTAAGAGATGGATATTTATTTGACTGTTAAAATTTTAAGGATAAAAAATGACCAGGATGTGCAGTAAAAAAAATTATTTTGAGTTTGGGGACGCTATGAACCAAACATGAACTTAAAACTTATCGTCGGGGCAAATTGTCTAAAGTCCGTACAAGAACAGCAAATTCAAAACTCGACAAACTCAATAAATGTCATTTTTCGCCTGGACATCTTGACCATTTTTGATCATTAAAATTGTTAGTTTGTATATTTGGATTCAATGGCTGTTAAGGCATCTTACCTTTCATCACGAAACAAAATTAAATTATCCATTAACTATCCTATCCTCTTAGATCATTTGATGGCCTCCATTCTGAAAGCAATCAGAATAATATAGCATTACAATCAGGGTTACCACTTTAGTGTAAAAGTTCCCTTTTTTTTTTTGTGAAATTTAAAAGTTGAGAGGGAAACAATATTTATCTATCAAAGCCTAATTTGAGCATAGTTCACACAAATGTTTTTTGTAATAATATAAGTAAACATACATAAGACGAGTGTTTACATTTAACAGTGCGTATTATTTTGTGTATATAATTAAATACATTTTGTTTTTCTGTAAGTGATGGTTATTCTCAAGGATCATAGTTCCAAAATACTGTTATTTTTATATTTCTGTGTTTAGGCGGAAAAGATTTTTGAGTTCGGTTTGAGAGAAAAAAAAGGAAAATCTGATTAACAAAAAAGAAACAAATTGGTGGAAATCCTGATTACAACATGACTAAATAGAAGAAACCGAAACCTCAGCAACAAGGTTGGGAACAAATTCCTATCTATCACATGGATTTTAATACAGACCGACAGACACGAAACCAGATTTGTTGTGATGTTCAAATACAGGTCTTAAAACACAATTTTCTGTTGTGGAATTGGATTCAATTTTTTTTATGATTGCAATACATTTCTTTACTTCATTTTTCGTTTATAGTGAATGTAAACATTTTATGGTTAGGAAGACGGTACTCGGTTGCAGTCAGAGAGAAAATATAAAAGAAAAATAACGATTTTTATTTTTGTGCTGACGTTTCGAATAAAGTTGCATGCTTTCATTAGGGCTACTATACCTAATGTGGGATTTTTGAATTGAGATACCAGTAGAGTTCTACAGACAACAGTTCCTTCAATATTTTAACAAATTTATATTGATAATTTATTTTATTCTGGGACAAAGTCTCTTTAGAATAATAGAAAAGTACAAAATTAAAATATATCTGGCCTAAATAAAAGCAAACACAAAAAGTAAAAAGAAAGATAAATAAGTAAAGAAAACATTAGTTAAACATACTACATACAAAATATTAAAAAAATCTTTATACAAAACACTTGAAACTATGCCTAGCCACTTAAAATTATGTACAATAATAGATATGTAATACAATATATAGATATGTAATTTCTTTTCTGTCTTTTTTTTTTTATCGTAATAATAAGTAAATTTGGAGAAGATTGTATGTTAATTTATATATGTATGTGTATGTGTGTGTATGTATGTGTATATGTGTGTATATATGTGTATGTGTGTGTATGTATATATGTGTGCACGTATTTATATATGTGTATATTTTTTTTGTTTATTTCTTAGTGGTTACATACTACTTTTTAAATAATGTATATTATGCTAGAATTTTTATAAGTTAGTTTTTGGCCAGATTGGTATTTTATTTCATATTAATTCATCTTTGTTATTCTAAGGGGACTTAGTCCCAGAATAAAGTTCTATTTTCTATTCTATTCTATTATATTCTACAATTGTAAAATATAAATATACAATTTTAGAAAAAAAATATAGAAAAATAAAAAATACATTTTTCTTGGAATTAATCTGTTGTCCGTGGTACAGACTCCATTTATCGAATAATTTCATCTCATCGTAACCTTCGACTATTTTATTTACGAATACTCTTTGAATCGGAGCGTTTTCAATCTGGAGGAGGACTATAACTTTGTCTATTTAATTATTTACTAAAAACTCGTAAATACACATTTGCTTTCTACTTGGATCGTAAGATAATTTGATCACGAAATAGATACAAAAGGTGGCCTAAAAAAATATTGGGCCGTTTGCCCCACATCTGGCTTATATAAAAACAAAAAAAACAAGAAAGAGAAATAAGTAAAAAAAAAACATTAGTTAACATACTATATATAAAACACTTGAAACTATCCCAAGGCACTAAAAACTCTGTACAGTCTGTTAGAAAAAATAAATAAATAAAAAATACTTTAAATTCTTCTTTAAAATAAACTATAAACCTTACTAACGACCAAAGGTAGGTTGTATTCGTTGTAGGGGTTGAAAAATTTTGTGTTCAGAATCGAAAATTTTCCTTTTATTTCAAGCGTTTTACATTTTCAAGTCTGGGTACAGCCAATTTTTTTTTATCCTATTATACGAATATATAACGAGGAGCGAACAAGCAGAAATTTAAACTGATAATGCATAATGTACGTTAAACAGAACAGTGTTTTTAAAATATAATTTTTTCTTTCATAATATTGAATCATTTGTTTATTATTTTCATTTTGTTGTTTAGGACTGCTGAATATTTTATTTTATTTATAGTTCCAATGTTTCGCTACCGCCTTATTGTTTGAATCTGGTCACGTCGTCTTGCGTAAGCAGTCAGGATTGTGTCACTGCCAACTAAATATAAAATAAAAAAATATATATATATAGCTCCAATATTTCTCCTGCTGTGATTTAATGTTGAAGTATCAGCGCCACCTGGATCGTAAAATTTAAACACCTTCCGATTTTTATTGCTCTTGTACACTTTGCTTCGATTTCTTTTCCTTTTTATTTCTGTTTTTTGTTCTCGGCTTCGTGAAGGCGTCCACATTATTAGTTACCATATGTCGAACTGGTTTTCAGATTGAGTCATGATGGCGTGTTTATGAAGAAAAATGTTTTACAGACCTTAGATCTCAATAGTGTTATCAATGCTATTATAAAATCTTATTTTATTGATAAGTATGGCAGTGTCTAAGGAACGTTTTATTAATATTGCAACTTTTTAAAAATTAATATAATAAAATAGTTACCGTGTAATCTGCGTATGATATAATGTGATCTGTTGGTAGGAAAATTTCAAATATCTGTAAATTTTATTTAAAGAAAAAAAAAACAACTAAGATGTGTGCTTTAGACCTCACACTATAAGTGAAAACATCAGCAAGGCGAGATTAATAATATGAAATATAAATTATAAATATAATAGCTAATTACAAAGAAGATGAATTGCTGAACATTTCCCTCGCTTAGAGTATACAGGTCCGATTTTTATTGTCTGAGATATTTTATTCCATTTGTAAAAACATTTCAATTAGTCGATTTTACCCGAGCGTTAACACTTTGGAAATCTGACGGTCAATCTAATTCACTTTATACAAAAAAAGTGCAAAACGCTCCTAAAGGAGTTTTCACTAAAAAAAAAAAACAATGGTGAAGTCGCGAACGCATTTGTCAAAAATTCATCTTATCAACATTTTTACTCTGGTGCCCTCCTTCAGCCTCTACTGGATTCTAATACTAGTGATGCGGCTGGAAAAGTGGCACTGGGATCTCCTGGAGTCCTGCTTTGCCTTCCACATGTGGAGGAAAAAGCATGGCTCGGAGATTCCTGGGCGAATGTATGTATATTAAGTGCTTTCGGGGTCGGAATGGTTCAACGCCTTAAAACTAAACATCAATTACGCACCTTTACGCGGAGTCCCAGGAGCCCCAGTGGACAGTCGAAGGGAGTTGTGTCCCTCTGTCGTAAATGCGGCAGAGAGTCGGAAACACCAGCCCATGTGCTGAGAAAATGCCCCAACAATTCCCTCCTCATAACACGCCGGCACCATAGGGTAAAGTTCGAGGTGATGAGGCTCCTTAGAGAAAAGGAATTCACCTGCTTTGACGAGGTCTATTGCATAGACAGTGAAGGCTCTACAAGGTATACGGATATTGTCGCGTTTCCCAGAACAGGAAGGACAGCGCTAATTCGGATCCAACTGTCCGCTTTGAGAGCAACGACCTCGATCAGGCGGGTGAAGTGGAAAGGGAAAAGAGGAATATATACGACAAATGCATCCCTTTCCTAAAAGAGAAATTCCGTGAGACCTTCGGAGAGAGAGAGTTCACCGTGAGAGGCCTCTGGTTTGGGTCTCGCGGAACTATCCCAAAAAGAACAAGGAGCTTTCTCGAGGAACTAGGTGTTGATGTTGGGGAGCTCGCGATATTGGTCGAAAATATTATTTTGGACTCCCTGGGGATCATCCACTATCATATTTATACCGATTGAGGACATCTGGTAATAACTGTTTATTAAATTTTGAATTGATCCGCTGTCGTCCTGTCTTTTTGTCTACATTCTGGGAATTGCTGTGTTATGTATGTGTGCGATGTTGTAATGAGTTCCTGGCGTTTGAAAATTTAAAGAGAGAAACAGGGAAATAATTTTTTTTTTTTTTGTCTTGGAAAAATGTTTATAGTGCTATGTATATTATTTAATATGGTTTTATTGTTGATAACTTGTAAGTGTATTGTTATAAGGGGGAAGAGGAAAAATATAGAAAGAAAGAAAAGATATGACAAATATATGTATAAAAAATGAAATATAAAATTAATTTCCTTGTGGATTGATAGGTATGCTGTGTACGAAGCAACCCTATGTAGTAGGGCAGCATTACTTTTAATAAAGTATTTCTCTCTAGCTATGAACGTGTTTTGAAGTTTTTATTTTATTTTGTTTGTTTATTTTTTCTTATTTATTTACTTTTTTTATCAGTATTATTTATTTACTTTTTATATTTATAGTTATTTCTGTATTACTTGTATATACTGTATGAATGAGAACTTCTAGCCTTAATACTTATAGCCCTGCAACAGTGGCTGATTGTATTATTATTCAATAAAAATAAATAAAAGTTAGTAAAGATATCAACATTTTAATATTTTAAAAATCAATTTATGTTTAATTATTATTTTAAAATGTATAACATATTTTCATTACCGAAGTAGAATATTAAAATTATTCAATAAAAACCTCTTCTTAACTCAAACATTAGATGATTAAATCATAAATATACATTTTATATGTAGGTTCACGTAACGATTGTTACTACTGTTATTGGATTTATTGTAGTTTATTTTTACTTCTACCAATCGATCAAATAAGTTTTTTTATTATGAGCATTTGGAGAAGAGGGAGAGGTTAAGGTTTTCAAGAAGTTGATATTTTTTTTTTTAACTTAAACCCCATAAAATTACCTTTACCCACTAGATTACCTTTACCCATCAAATTACCTTTACTCTTCGTCGTAAACCTACAATTTCTTGTTCTACAATAACCTTCAATGATATTTCACTTCTTTCTGTTGAACAAATCCGCTACCTAGGACTTGGATAAACGTCTTACATGGAATTCTCATACTAGACTGAAACAACAAGAAACTGCTCGATGTTTCGGACTGCTCCAACACTAACTAGACAAACGCTCTAAACTTCAAGAATATAGAAGAAGAGAGAGAAAAAGACAGGAAAATTGTACATATATATAAGAAACTAAAATAACCTAAATAAATTGAGGTAGTCTCGGGGGGGGGGGGGAGAGGTACTTATATAGTTCTTTTAGGTATATTTCGTAATCATTCGGATTGAGAAAGGAGTAGGTGCTTAAAGAGGAGAGGTTTGAAAGAAGAAAATGATTGTGCGTGTTGAATATCGACAGGGATGGAATTCCAGAGGGAGGCACCTTGAATTGCTAAGGATTTGTCAAACGGAGCAGTTCGGTAAGGAGGAGGATAGAGGTCGGAAGTACGAGGTTTAGTGGGACGGGATTGAATGGAGTATTTGAATTGTAAGCTGTGAAAAATATAGGAAGGTCGATGAGTTCTAATGATCTGCTAAAGAAAGGTGGCTGGGAAATACTGACGGCAATAGGATGGATAGAGCCACTTCAACTCGGTGTAATACTGGGTAATACGCGTATCTCTTGAGATTCCGAAAACAAATCGTAGTTCGCAATTCATTAGGCGTTTAAGTTTGGCCACGATATCTCCGAGAGTCCACCTTATACCATACAGCCATAGTCGAAGTGGGGGAAAACAAGGGAGGAAACTAGGAGTTGACGGGATTTATATGGAAGGAGATATCGTAGACGATTGAACTGTTTTATTGTGACGATAGTGATAGTGATTGTGCATGCTTGAATTAACGCAGTAGTTCGATGACAAGGAGGTTCGATAGAGGTCGGAAGAACGGGATCTGGTTGGACGGAATCAAATGGTGGATTTGAATTGTAGACTCTGAAGAATGTAGGAGTATCGCTGACTTCTAATGGCCTGGTATAGAACGATAACAAGGAAAATAGGTCTTTTTTTTTCTTTTCTCCATCTTAAATTGGCTAATTATAATGAAGATAATAAGAATAATTTGTTAAGTTAATCGAGATTGCCCTGAACAATGCTTACATTCCAGGTAACCTCTCCCGATTTGATGAAACTTAATCTCCGGTTAATCCTGTTGTTCATTTTCTAATTCGAATCCTGTTTTTCCATTTTTTTTTTTTTCTAATTCGTTTCATAAAAGTTGTTGCATAATAAGCGCACTGCGTACAAGACTGAGGAGAGCTCTGGGTGAGGTCGATATCTTTTATTATTCTCGAGAGGAGGCGAAATTTGTTCTCCTCGCGAAATGCCTCTATTTATTATTTGCTATCCGAGGAAGATCTCGGGAACGAATTCCGTCGAGGGTTGTTTGCCAAGTTTTTGTCAGCGCGTGTTTTCTAGTCATTAGTTGAAAGAACAAACTAGTGCTTCTTGTTCTCTAGATTCTTTTCAAACTAAAGTTTTCTTACTGAGAAAAAAAAAGAATAAGATTACGTGCTCTCGGCGAGTTTAGATATGACATTTTTCTTCTCGGATGAACTAAAAACAAAGCATGTTTTTTTTTCTTTTTTCTTAATATATTTAATAAGTTGCTTGGCAATAATAACTTCCATCATTATTATAATCATTAGAATTAAGCCTTGCATCCACAAGAGTATTGGAATTGCAGTTCTGAAGATGGGAATAAAAGGTCCCGAAACGTCAACTAGACTGTAACATGCAATGTTAAAAAATATACTCGTTTGTTAATAATTGGAAGTTATTATTGCCAAGCAACTTAATAAATTGACAACTTCCCAGGAAAAAAGAAAAAAAAAAGATTAATATATTTACTTTATCAAAGAAAACAAACGTGATTCTCGAATTTTTCTCCATTCATAGATCAGGTATAAATTTTAAATTCAGTTTATGCAGTTATTAAAAATCTATTCAATTTTTCCGGCTTAATAATTTTTTTACTTTTTACTCTTATTGATTGATGTTGTTAGTAATTATGTTGGTTTTCATTCAACTTTTTTCTCTGTAAAATTAAAAAAAAAAAAACTAAGGTTAGTGCTTTAGACCACACGATAAAATTCAAAACGTTAACAAGGCGGGATTAATAATAAGAAATATAAATTATTGATAATAGCTCATTATGATGAGGATGAAATGCTGAACATTTCTCTCATTTACAATATAATAATAATAATACTTTATTTATTGTAGGACTAGTCCCTTTAGACTAATACAGAAAGATAGAAAAGTGGGCTAAGGATCCTCAGAGATACATAAAAATACAGAGTAATTGTCTTGGTAATAGTCTTTGTGAAAAAAATGTATATATGTATATATATATATATATATATATATATATATATATATATGTATAAAGTTACTTTCTAATTTTGATCAGTTAATAATAAAAAAATTGGAGTGAAAATAATGAAGAACGAACTAATAATTTATGTACTTATTTACAGTAGTAGCTATTTCCAATTTTATGGGGACTGGATGGATAAGAAATGATTGAACAGGCGGGATTTAAAGGTAGGAACGGTTTGCATTGATGGGTGTGGGAAGGGATGGAGTTCCATAGGGATGAGGATGGGATAATGAATGATCTGTAGATAGCAGCGGTTCGGTGGGCCCTTGTGTATAAATCAGAAGACCTGGAACGAACAGAGGATTAAAATTAAAGGATCTCGGAGATGTATGAAGGACGGTGGGATTGGATGACTTGAAAGAGGTAGGATGCCAGGAAATACTTACGACGGTAGGAAGGATAAAGTCACTTTAACTCTTCATAAAAAATGGGAAATAAGGGCGTCTTTTGGGATCCCGAAGATGAATCGTACAAAGGAATTTATCAAACGTAGGTTATATACAGGTAGCAACGTATATTTCGTAGGTTATATGAACGTAGCAATATACAGGTCCGATTTTTAGTTTCTGAGGTATTTTAATCCATATCTTCAATACAACTAGTTATCATTTGGTTTTCGACACTATATTTTCCCTTTTCACCTCTCTAATACGGTGTTACGTTAAGATACAATTTTGAATAATAATCCATTACAAAGAGGATGAAATGGTAAACATTTCTCTTGCTAATAATATACAGGTCCTATATTTAGATTTTGAAATATTTTAATCTATATGCAGAAACACTTTAATTTGTCGACTTTACCCGAGCGTTGCATATCGGAAATCTGACGGATCAATTCAATCTCTACAAAAAAGTGCAAAACTCCCCTATAGAAGTTTTCTCTTCAAAAATTATAATATAGGGACTTTTTAAATCGGTTATACATTTATACAATCTTCTCGAAAACAGCTCTAACGATTTTCGATTATATTCTGTATGCCAATGTAAACTTATAAGTATTGGTCATTATATGGGAGGTCTTATTTTCAATGAAGTAGTCTGACTGAGCTTAAATTTTCAAATTTTTAAAAAATATTAAAAATATCTTGTATCATTAATACGAAATGGTTAAATTGAACTAAGAAATAATTTGATTATTAACAAAGTTTTGTTTTACCATTGGGTTACCTTACCCCCTCTCCGCCTGACGGTGGAGCAACCCTCATTTTGCAAATTATATAACTGTTCATTTAATTGTTCTAATCTTTGCTCATATCACTTTAATTTACGTGTATTCTTTAGTTCAGATTGTATTATTTTTTATCAACATAAAATAAACTGAACGAAACCACAGTTAGGACAAAATTTTAATTTCTTTAAAACTCAATATAATACATCGCGCCTTATTGTCAATTTATATTACTATTATTGTTATTGCCATATGTAACCATAATAAATATTCAACTTGTCCAGCTTCTTCATATAAGCCTAACAAAAATTTGAGCCTTTTATTTCCAATGTAATATTTTCATTGTACGTTATATTGTACT